CCTAATTCTCAGTGATATGTCTTTGTTTGCCAGTTTCCAATCTTGTTTTACTTTTTGCATAAATTAAACCGAGGAGTAGAGGCGTAATTGGACGGCATTATCGGCTCGTTGATTCAGACTTCCCTTTCGAGGGTATGTGACTCGAGGTGCGGGACGGCTATCATTTCTTAGTAAAATCCAACTAGTGGTCTATTATCAATGCTGCGTTCTGATTGGTTGAGCTACTACTAGGCTATATGTTATAGCCCACTAGTAGCGAAAAGTGCCGGCTTTTTGGCGGCAAAAGGGATTTAAGTCTAGCTTTAACTAGCTAAATCTGTTTTGTCTCGTTATTTTTGACCAACTAGTTGGATTTTACTAAGACAATTATTCCTCTACCCCTCATGGCCTCTGAGTCAATAGCCCATGAGGCTTGGGCCTCATGGGCTATTGACTCAGGGCTCATTAGGGCTCGAGGAATAATTGTTAAGTATATTTCAATTCAATAATAAAAATTACTTAATTAATCAACAATAAAATGACAAGTTCTCTGTATATCAAGGCACATTAATATTATGTCAAAAGAAAAAAAAAAGAGTGGAGCCACCAATTGTCGATGCAAATTTAAGAATCAGACGGTTACCTCGCGAGTAAACTTCCACCTCGCAAAGCTGAAGAAACTGTTTCTTCGTGGTTTTAATGCCAAGATATCGGCCAGTTGTCAGTGGATTTTTGTAACACACAGCAGAAGCTATAAACTGTATAAAAGTGTACTGTCCATTGCAAGCAGGATTGGTTTCTGCATCCTCAATGTTACCTGTTATAATAGAACAAAATGAAAGTCCTAGAGTCACTTAAGCTAAGATAAAACGGGCAAGAGAAACGTGCAAATTGTTTTGTAGCCTGACAAAACAGCCGACATTTCGCAACGCCACCACTCATTCTGTTTTTCCCACAAAGTATCGTCTAAGAAACGAAATTTCACACTGGTGACGTATCACCACCCAGATCTGCGAAGTGCTTCTTAGTGGTTGAAGCAAATTCCCTCGCGAGACGACCAGTCAGAAGCACTACCGAGATCTGGGTAGTGACACGTCATCAGTATGGAATTTCTGCGCTTGTTCCTCAGACTTCATTTCGCGGGGAAACCAGTCGTGGCGTCGTGAAATCAGTGCTATTCATGATAAAAATAATAATAACAACAACAACAACAATAATAATAATAATAATAATAATAGTAATAAAAATAAGTAATGGTAACAGGACTGAGTGGAGTCCAATTCGATCTGTAATCATACGAGTGATTAACAAAATCGGACGACCGCGTAGCGGGAGTCCGATTTGTTTAATCACGAGTATGATTACAGACCGAATTGGACGACACGAAGTTCTGTTACCAATTAATCATAACTTTAACAAAATTTGTGATATAATGGGCTATTTTTTACATCAAAACACAAGAAATTTGAAATTTTGTTTTGCTAGCGGTGAAAAAAAGCCATTTAAGCGCGCGCGTGATGGCGCGTACTGTCCAATTACTCAGGCATGACGCGTACTGTCCTATGAAACTGTCCAATTAAGGCTGAAATCAGGGCAGTTGATAGCCAATCAGATTTTACTATTTTGTTATAGTTATGATTATAATAATAATAATAATAATAATAGTAATAATAATAATAATAATACAAATTCGTGGGGGTGCTAGAGAACGTTCGGCAGGATGAACGGCTGGCCCTAGCGTGCGCGGCTAAACAGTATTTACGCAGGATATCTGTTATATGGTCCAGCTCCATGTCTGATTGTAACCGTGTACAGGCAACTTATCAGTATGCACTCCCGGTCCTGCGGTACTTAATGTGGACATAGCATTGGCCTCTATCAGAGTTAAGAGATGTGGACAGAGCAGCTCGGAAGATCATCGTTGAGAACGGTGGCAAGCACCAAGCTAGCCTAACTTCTTTGTTATATCTACCGAGGGAGAAAGGGGGTAGAGGCCTGCGATCAGTAGAACACCATTACAAGATCACTAAAATCAAATCGCTACTGAAATTGTATCAGAATCCGGACCAGACCATGGAAACAGCTAGAGAATTTGAAGAACACGCCATGGCATTAGGCCACCAGTCGCTTGTAAAGGAAGCAGTAAAGTACGCTGAAGAACTCAACATCACACTTCAGCTTGACTCCCTAAATCCCGTGTGTGTTACAACAGAAGGAAAGGTGGTGACTGCAGCAAGAGCTGGGAATCTGTTGAAGCAATCTCAAGAGAAGCAGTTCTTGGAGATCGCTAAAGGCAAAAAGTGGCAAGGAAAGTTATTCCGTATCAGATGGGAAGATGAGAGCCCAAGCATAACCAGCTGCTTTGCATGGTCAAAAGGTTGGGCTTCATGCCCTACATATACCATCGCGAGCATGTATGAACTGTATGAGCAGCTGTTGCCTACGAAGCTCTACACAAAGGAGAAGACCGCGAAGTCCTATGCAGGTTATGTGGGAAGGTGGTTATGTGGTGTAAGTATAGCTTCTCAAGTGGTGTAGGTTACGTTATGCGCCCTATACTACTCATAATGTGGACAGCATTCCAAAGTTTTATACTGCGAAACAATAATAACAAGGTGCTTAAAAAAGCATTCCACAACGCATGGAAGTCTCAATGCTTTTTACAATAAATTATTGACCTAATCCAACACTACACGCGGCTAAAAAGAAAACTTTTAAATCTTGATTTAAAAGAGTCAACTGTGGAGCACTGTTTGATTGTAATGGGTAGGTCATTCCAGAGCTTTGGTGCAATCACTGAGACGGATCTGTCGCCATAGGTAACCGTGTTCTAGTCTTTGGAATAGACAGCAGGTTTATGCTGCTTGACCGTAGTAAACGGTGAGGCGTGTAGTTAAATAGCAGCTCATTTGAATAGATTGGAGCGAAGCCATGGAGGATTTTGTACGTGACCAACAGAATCTTAAACTTAATTCTTTCTTTTAATGGGAGCCAGCGGAGCAAACTCTTTAAGATTGGAGCGACGTGAGCCGACTTTTTTTGCTCTAACATATCAAAAAATCGAAAATGAAAATGAAACTTTACAATTACATTTAATACATTGAAATTCTCTCGAGGAGCAAAGAAAATCTAAAAAAATATATGAGTAAAAACTATAGAATAAGGCACGGCTTAAATTTTTCTATTAAATTAGGAAGAATATGGAAAGAAGGCCTTGACTAGAATTGCACAAATGAGGGAGGGGTTCCCCTCTTGGATCAAGATGCCCATTACATTGATCTTTTACAGGAATTTTAATCATTATTATTATCATTGTTACTATTTTTATTACAAGCGATACCGGTAAAAGTAAATTATAATTATTTTACACTATATAAAGCTTCGAGTTTAAACCTTCCAATAATTTGATCAAAAAGGGTTAGCTTTATCGTCTTTCTTCGGTGCCGCACACTTATACCACGAAGTCACGGTTCGAGGTTGTCCGCTATAGTGAGAAGTGATTCCATTTGATTTTATTGAAATCGATGGCTGAAAATTGATTGCTTTTTTTGATATACAAATCATGTCCAGTGACACACAACTGATCGTGTCAAAGAGAAAGTAAAATCAACTATTACAGCTGATTATTAAGTCGCGCAAAAGCCGATTAATAAAATGGATTTACAAAGAGAGAAACGAATTGCTCTTACTAAAATGAAAACAACAACTTAATAATAGCCTGCAAACCACTAAGCTGAAACTTCTGTCATGTTAGGCCCCTTTCAAACGTGGAATTTCTTTCTAGCTATATGCACCACACAGGTAAAAAAGAGAGTAAAAAAAGGATTAAAAAAAAATAATAAAATAAAGTTATGAAAAATTTGCTTCAAAGGGATTCGAACCCGGACCCTCAGAATCTGTTGGAACGCCACTGTTTACTGGACCACCTCGGTAAACACTGACTATTGGAGTTTAGTATAATTACATTGACGATTATCGAAAATAGAGCGCCATGATTGGCTAGGAGCTTCGCTTCATCCCGCTATAATCACCGCGCGGTGATCATGATTGAAGGCTAGCAGTTTTCAAAATGGCAGCCAGATTTGTTGATGTTTCGGAGTCGGAAATTGATCAATAATTTTATTTTCTCGAATAATCATCAATGTAATTATACTAAAACAACAAGAACGCTCTTAGTAGCGTTGAGTCTCGCTTGCTTGGAGATGAGTTTTAATGTCAAAGGCCCCCGTGCCGTTATACTACTTTTTCGTTTGGAATACAAAACGAGTGTTGTATGTCATAATGTATATGTTGTTGTTAATTTTTTATCTCAGTTAATTTTCATTTTTACATTGTTTTTGGGTATGATAATGAATGCTAATGAATTTGAAACAAAGGAAATATAAAAATTAACTGAAATAAAAAAAATTAACTGCAACATATATACTCAAAAAGTAAAAATTGCAAGGAGAGACAGACTGCACATCTTAGCCTCAAACCGGTGTGAAAGCTTTGAAAACCTTCTACATATTGATATTGCTCCATTGAGGAGTACTCTTTCAGGAATTCTACACTCGAAAAATTGAACGATGATGTTTATCGATATCAGGGGTCCATGACTCTGTCAGTATAAATATACATAGCTTCTTTGTACCGGACCAAGATACGGCTCGGTACAGTAAATGTTCAGCACAGGAAAAAGTGTAAGTTGAACAGAACCCTATGCAACAAACAGTTTATTCAGTTCGCGCGTATTCCTGCTGAATTTGTTGTCCGTGTTATAAGATATTAATATCGCATGAAAGTAATGACATTTTCCATAGCTACTTAGTATGGATGGATGGATGGATGGACGGACGGACGGACGGATGGACGGAAGGACGGACGGACGGACGGACGGACAGACAGATAGATAGATAGATAGATAGATGGATGGATGGATGGATGGATGGATGGATGGATGGATGGATGGATGGATGGATGGATGGATGGATGGATGGATGGATGGATGGATGGATGGATGGATGGATGGATGGATGGATGGATGGATGGATGGATGGATGGATGGATGGATGGATAGATAGATAGATAGATAGATAGATAGATAGATAGATAGATAGATAGGTAGGTACGTAGGTAGGTAGGTGGGTAGGTAAGAACCTTAGTTTATGGCACGATGAAAAGACCAGCATTGCTGGTGGGGTCGTGCATACAACAATTACAAGAAAAATAAGGAGTACTGACAGCAAATGTACACTTAAAAATTAAAAACTGTTAAAAGTTTTTTCTTGTATTACAGTATGACCAGAATAAAGCGTTTCATTTTCTCCGAAAATTTCGCTTTTCGTCAAAACAATCACTGACTCAGACAGACTCGGATTAGTTTGCTTGAATTTAGCGTTCAGTACAGCGAACGGGGTTATGTTCTGTGAAATTTATCTACAGTCTGCGGCCCTCATCATCACTGATCCACGACTTTTTTTTATTCATTTATTTTATTTTCAAGTTCTTTTTAACCGATCCTTGATCCCTGATTTCTCGATCCTCGATCCTCGATCCTCGATCCTGATTTTCCACTAAACCTTGAAGTTTTGCTCATTAAGATTATTCTTTTTTCTTTTTTCGACCACTGAAGTGATCAGTTGTTCAAAAATAATCAACCCTTTCAAGCCATAGAATTCTTGGACCAACCCGTTCCGGAAAAGCTCGATATGGGATTTCTATTAACTATGGACATGAAGTGCTGCAAGTAGAGTGTGCGGTTAGTCAAGTTCAAAGCTATCCGTATAAACACATCCGTGACACGTTAGGGTGGATTTCCACTAATGCGTTTTTGGCTCCGCACGTTAACGCACGTAAATTTTAATCACGTAAATCAAATAGAGGTAAGACATAAAGTATTGAGATTAAATGTCAAATTAAGCGAGTTTCTACTTTTACGCGTACATAATTGTACGTGCAGCCTTTCATACATTGCCTTTATTTTATTTGCGAATGCAACCTTTACGCACGTGCGCGCGTAAAAATTACGTGCCAGTGGATACTTGATATATTAAGCATTTATGAAGTGCAACATGACTTCACATCGTAACAACTGCGAAAATCTATCAATTAAATACAGAAAACAAAGTGAATCTATTCAACCGTACATTTCCTGTAATTGCGACAATATTCTGAGAAACGTAACGCCTTAAAAAGCCACAAAATCCTGAGGATTTCCCCGCTATAATATTTTTTCATCCTGCTTGGGGATGTGCCTGCATGTCGTGCATAATTACACGAACATCAAGGGCCTCCATTCGAGGAAAATTACGTCATTGCCAAACTTATATGCGTCATTTCAGTCATCCCCGAAATAAACTGCATTCTCATCACGAGACTCATTTCAATACAATGAAAGTCGTCACGATTCTTATCCCCAGTTTCCACGGTCTTCGCTAGGGACGCGGGGCCTACAAACTAGGTCCCACCGGAAAAAAAAAAAAAAAAACGACTGCATTTTAAGAGTCTCGCTTTGCTCAAGCAAGCGAGACTAATTACTTGTCTCAGGCGACGTGAATATCGGCCAATAATCACCTCGACTTCGTCTCGGTGACGATTCGCCGCTATTCTTCGCCGATATTCACGTCGCCTCCGGCGACTAATTGTTAATTAAAAGAGGTTTGTATTCCTTCTCTATGGTGATTGACAGTTTTCAAGGATGACTTTTCCGGTTTTTTTTTTTAATTTTAGTGTAGAATTAAATCTTTAGCTGATCGAAGCTAGACGTATAACTCACAATAAACCCATTAATACTCTTTCAGGCTTAATCCATGCTGGGGAACGTTTAAGAAATTTATGAACTATCGATCGCGCGGCTATCGACCGAACCGTATGACCGTACGATTCTCTCCCTGCTCGTAAGGGGTCTTTTAATCGGTCGGGGAAAACATTAATACAACAATGTTCATCATTATTTCCATTGTTTCAGGTTAGGGTAGTAATTTGGCTTTTAGGGCTAGAAGAGCTGCTACATGACCTTTCCAAAAATACAAGCTAACCTTTAACCGTAATCACTATTCTCAGTATGGATAGTGCTTAACCCTAATTAGTTTTTCAGTGCTTAACCCTAATCAGTATCGTCAGTGCCTTTAAAACCCTAATCACTATAGTCAAAATATCAGACTGCCGGTCACTTAGTGTTTTGTAAATCCTGACCGGTTACCGGCCATATAGCCACAGCAAATAATAAAACTGATTTATTTAAAAAATATGCTTGAAAGATTTTAAAACGGCTGTTTGCTCCAGTGAGGCTATTTCTTTGTCCATATGCTACGCTATTTTGCTAATTAGACTAATTACGCTAATTACGCAAATTAGACCTTTTTGTTCGTATACTTTTGAAACGAGATTATTCAAATTGCAGTTGAAAATCAGTGTAAGAAGAAAGCACGTGGTAATCCACTACGCTTTTTATCTTCCATTCCGGCAAAACCATAATTCCTTGCGGGTGTACTGCGCATCCGTAAGCTTTCATTCACGCATAACCACAACTCCTTGCGTTTGGCAAGTAAAAGTGATTAAGTGCCCCTATAATGTAATTTTTTGCCATTAGAGAGCTGCCTCAGTTGTTTTCTTCAGGCTATGTATGCACCTCTAATTATTGGTTGTTTGATCACACTTTTTTTTTATCATAACAAAGAGGAATACAGCAGAAATAATAAATAAATAAAAACATAAGATAAAAACTGAAAGGAAAATAATAAAATAATAAATAGTTGAAAAAGAAATAAAAATAAATCAATGCTAATAATTATTCTGTGTAGAAAACAACAAAAACAACAACAAAACTACTGACCTAATGTTAGTACAAAGTCCTTATTTCTTTGTCTTACGTCTTCACGGCGTGAGAACCTGTTGACTATGAGCACCTCAGAGACTGGCACGTTGTCTGAACCTAGGTCCACCCACCACCAACTGGGGTTATCTTGCTGTGTATGTGCACACTGAGCACCAGGATCAAAGTTTGTAGTAACATTTCCATCCACTGCCTTCCAAGAACTAGCACCACAGCAGGTGCTACTTTGTTCTGTCCGCTTTCCAAAAGCTAGGTTCTCTACACAGGTTATATATTATGGAGATAAAGTTCATATAAATGTGTTTTTTTGAATGAAACATGAGCCTTCACTTAGACTTATTTCAATCTTGGTTAGTAACTTCTGTGAAGCAGCACCAAGATTGTTTCAGGCCACCAAAGGACTCAAGGAATAATTGCCAGAAGCGTGTTTCAAGTTTCCTGTCAAACTGATCGGCAAATCCACAAGAGTCCAATCGTGGCAATTTTCCAAATCCTTATACACAGGTGAGGGCCCAGAACAAGGATTTTGGCGTTAGTTGTTTCTCAGACAGATTTTGAGATACACGAACAAGCTTCTCTTCTGTAACCTTTAAGGCTTCAGATACAGTTAAACCCCACGTATAAGAACCTAAAATTTAAGAACCTGTCAAGCTGAAATTTTCATTTTAAGCACCCTTCACATAAGAACCATTTCAGGTTGAAATTTCAAAGTAGGTTCTTAATTTCCAAAGTAATATAAAGTCAATCTGTTTTATTTTCTTCAAATAATACAATACAGTACTCTGCATGTTAGCGTACTTACACTGCACTCTACTATATTTCATGCAACTAGCGTGAAAATGTCTGAATAATTTAATAAAGGCTATGCCCACCAATACAAGTACTTTATTTGTTACCAAAACTAACCCATTTAAGAACCTGGATTGCCTGATTTCAAGTTAAGCACCATTTATATAAGAACCTGTTCAGGCTGACTTTGAAAAAACTAGGTTCTTATATGTGGGGTTTTACTGTACCACAAACAGTAAAAAGGGCAGAGTCCAGTGTATCAGAAAAGTGAAGGCTCATACAAATTGTTAGTAGTTTCTAAGCATTGTGTTTAGCAGATACCTGTGACTAACTCGCTGGGTTTAATGATTGTGGTAGACACCAATGGGGTGTGTGAGAAATCGGAAGAGGAGAGGCATTTTTCTCTCCATACCCCACCAGATGATTTCTTACATATTTTCTAAGCTGAATTAAGTAAGACTTAACAAGGTACAAATATCTTTAACGTGCTGTCATAGGGTAAATTCCAAGGATGACACGTAGGTCTCATACTTCACAGGAAGGCAGCTAGGAAGGCAAGGATTTGGGGGGAAAAAAGGGAGTAAATTAGCATTTTGTTTAACAATGGGCTCCTTGGTTTAATAACCGTACCCCCACCTCCCACGGTTAAGCACATAACTTCACTTCTCAACCCTGAAAATTACATAAAATTGCATTCACCCCGGAAGACTTCTAAACAATATGGTTCCTACCCCAGAAGAATATTGGTGTACCCCGGATGAGTACGGCTCGATCTCCCCATGAAAAAAATTATGGTTCTACCTCTGAAGAATTCCATGAAAATTAAATCTTCACCCCCAAACCATTCCATATATTGTTTTTTTAACTCTACCCCTAAAAAAATCCTCAGTTTTTGTTACTTACCCCTAAAGAATTCCATTTCCAGGGGCGGAAGGTATGGATATTAAATGCAATAGCCCAATGATTCCACTGTCATGATAATTAAACAGCAATTTGGAAATAGATTTACCGCTAGGCACCCAACACAGGGCCACTTATAACCACATCATTAAATAGCAACAAAAGCGTCTATTGTTATATGGAACGTTCTTCAAACCCTCTCAACAAGGAGGACCTGAGTAGCCCTGGGCCAAGTCGTTCAAAAGCTGGGTTAAGATAACCCACGGTTAGTACGAGATTTGCATTTACATTTGAAAGCTTAAAAAGCATTTCATTTTTAATTCTTTTTGTCAACAAGTTAATGATTAGAACCTCTAAAAATAACAGAGAAAATTATCCGAGAAACTTCTTTTGAACACAAGAAAATGAAACCCGGGTTAAATTTAACCCCGCTTCCAACAACTGGGCCTTCTATTCTTTCGGTAGTACCAATGATTCCCCGGCCTCAATCAAGCGACTCAACACGCCTGCATCTATCTCTGTTTTTATCATTCGACTTCCAAGCGGCCTCAATTTCGAAGGTCGCGTAGAAGCGAAAATAACACAGGGAGTTCTGAAATCCGACTAAATCTTAACAACTGAATAAAGATAACTTGCTTCTTGCGTTCTCTTTGGCGGCCATTTTAAAATTCGCGGTCAGCGTGAAGTCTGGAACCAAGATCTCTCCGTCAACCCCAGGGTCTTCTCGTTTTCCAATGAGAAGACTCTGGGGACGAGGTTGAGATCTCTCGTCGGATTTTCCGGAAGTTTTCGAATTTCCAACTATTTACGATTGTATTTCATCACGACATTTCGGCGTTTTTGAAAGACGCACGTCAATGAAACCGAAATTGGAACTTTTTCCCTTTCTGATCTGAAATAGAATCCGGGCCTACTGTAAAAGCCGGGAGGCACAAATCACTAAGAACTCCGAAGGGTATCCCTTCCGCTGGGGTAATTATAAGCAAAAATCGTTTACCTGGCTTTAGTTTTACTCCATATATTTCTGTTCTCAGACAGAACCTGTTGTGACTTGTTTGACCAACGAATCTCAGTGTTTTCGCTAAAACACCCTCAGAGAGGATGTTTTTATTCTCTGTATTTCTGTCTTTGTTACCTGTGAAAGTCTAACCACAATACAACAGTTCAGCCATATTAAACCGTCAAAATAGATACAGTCAATCTATTATATTTCAAAACAGGGAAAATAGCTAGTACGCACATACATTTACCCAGGGTTTTTATAAGAACAACATGGCTATTTTTTATAGGGATTGCGTCAACAATCAGGGAAGTTTGAAATTGTCAGTTTTACAGATAGTACTTTTATCATTGTCTTCTCCGTTACTCATGTTATTGTCATTATTACTTTAATCAACATCATTTTTATTGTCATTAGCCAGTTATTCTAATCGAGTTTTTTCATGACTAAGGCAATACAACGTAATAGATAAACACTTTTCATTTACATTTCGAAAGAGTTCCTCGTTTTGTAATAGTCAGAAGCTTTCAGTTTAAGTGTTTGTGACTCAAATTTTCTTTTTGTCCTTAAGTTCTACAATATGTGTAAAATATGTAACCGAAATTTACAGGTCAATGATCTAGCAAAATCTAAGCTTTCGTCCCCAAAGCACGCAATTTTGCCTTCAAAAATGTCCGCACCCTACCGACCGCACGACCAGTTAACAAGTGTGACGTACAATGATTCTCAGTGCAAGAATATAGAATAATTAACAAGATGGAGGCAAATACAAAGGATTTTGCATTGTCGGAAACGCTCCAATAATCTTCAGAATCTTCATTTACTTCCCCAAGCCTTCGTTACAGTCAGTTACATCGCTTAACTCCGCACAGAACACAAAGCAATGACAAGAATTGGAAGCCGGCGGTTTGTTCTCAGTCTTTGGGACATTTCTGAAGGGGGAAAAGCAGTTTTCTGGATGGCCAAAATTCAAGAACGTTTTAAGAAGACATTTTTTTTAAAAGTTAACAATTGTTAATGATACTTATCTATGGACGGACTAAAATCAGTTTGAGAAAATTTCGTTTCATATGCAATTTAACTGATAAGGTATTAAGATGGCTCGAAGGCGTTTCCTAGCTAGTTAATTAGTCGTAGGACAAAAACCTATTGGAAAACTCTTGATACGCCAGCTACTTCTTTGTTATTTTTGCTTTTTCTTGTTTTGGTTTGGTTTGGTTTTTGTTGTTATAGCGATTTTCGTATGATCTTGAAAAATGGTTTCGCTAAGTTTTTGTTATTTGTTTTATCAGCCAATGGATGAAATGATCAAAACTTGGCCTTTTCTTTTTCCCACAAAAGAAAACCCTAATTGTTCGATTGGCCAATCGTGTTGCAGTATGACGTCAAAGCAAATTATCGATTACTTTCTAGAAAGTTCTCGGGCATGACGTTTTTTCAACCGAGCGTTCGCTTAACCAACCAAAAGCCACGTACGTTTATGTCCGTCCTATAAACCAATCAAATCGCTCTATTTCCGTTTGTTTGTTGTTTCTGTTTTGTTAGCACGTTTTCATTTCAAGGTCATACGAAAATCACTCTATTTGGTTGGGTTTGTGGTTGTTATCGTTTTTTATAAAAGAGTTGGCATAGATAAAGTGGAAGGAATGCAGAAACTTACCTTATTTTGACCAAGTTCCTCATAATCTGTCCACGTTGTTCCATCCGTTGATACCTGGATTATGTAGGTCTCTATCCACTGATCTGCATTTGGATTTCCTTGTGTTGACACAGCACAGAGAATATGGATGCTTTCCAGGTCTATTTGTAAATAAGGTTTAGCATCTCCTGTAGACGCACACCATGCTTTTTGTTCGTTCAAACGTCCATTCTTGGCTTCTGATATCTCAGAGGAGGCGGTTATATTGTTATCTGGGATTTTACCACTTCCAATTCCAAGATCCAAATCGATACAGTCTCCTTGATACCCCACCCCCCCCCCCCAAAAAAAAACAGGAAATAAATGAATAAGTTTTT